TCGATGGTCAGTGGTGGATGCTTTAGAGGTTTTCTCCTGAAGTCCACAATGATCTCTTTAGTCTTCCCCACATTAAGGGAGAGGTTGTTGTCCTTACACCACTGGGCCAGTTGGCACACTTCACTACCGTAGTTGGCCTCACCGTTGTTGGTAATGAGGCCAACTACAGTCATGTCATCCGCAAACTTGACAATGTGGTTGGTGCCGTAGGTTGGCACACAGTCGTGGGTCAGCAGGGTGAAGAGCAATGGGCTGAGCACACACCCTGTGCTCAGCGTGATGGTCTTGGAGATGTTGCTGCTGACCCCCACATTTTGTGGCCTCCCTGTTAGAAAGTCCAGCACCCAGTTGCAGAGAGAGGTTTTGAGTCCCAAGTGTCCAAGTTTTTGTATAAGCTGCTGAGGAATGATTGTGTTGAATGCTGAGCTGAAGTCTAGGAACAGCATTTGCACATAAGAGTTCTTTGAATCTAGGTGGGTGGGGGCTGGATGGAGAACAGCAGAAATAGCATCCTCTGTAGACCGGTTTGACCTGTATGCAAACTGAAATGAAAAACACTTTTTCTGCAAATTTGTTTTTGAGGCCTGAACTGTGATGCCTCATTGTTTGACTCTCCATCGAAACTCCCAAACAGTCAGTGTTTTCTAGATAATTACTGTTCAGGTTTCAGGCATTCTCTAAAAGTCCCCCAGAATTGTCCTATGTCATGGCTCCTCTGCCTTTTCTTGCCACCTTGTGGACTTGTGGCTGTCAACAGCTACAACTGTTTGTTTTTCAACACCTGCAGGCCTGGCCCTCTGAGTCCTGCATGTGTGAAGTGAGTGTAGCTAGAAATGTGTGGAAACATGTGTATGCCACAATGTTTGTTGTCAGGTTGAACGACCAGTGGGTGGAAGTGGTTGGTGATTTGAGTGAGCTCATTAGGAATTTATGAAGCGCTAAAATGTTTGGTCTCCGGGGAGGAGGGATTGGCAGCTGTCGCATAGGCAAGCAGGCTGGCGACAGAAGGGGAAACCGACTTCTGCTGAGAGCACAGATTGTAGAGATACAGTACAGATGTCTGAAATATTGTTGTAAACAGTAGATAACTGGCAGTAGAGAGTGGCATGCAATAAGCATGTTATTAGGTCTATTATGTACTTCTTTTCTACCCATACCACTCTTTGTTCGTTGAATTATTTGCAAATCAACATTTTATCTGCAGATGTGACTGATTTCAGAAAAATCAAATGTACCTCTATCCAACTAAACACAGAGAAGTGCCAGGGATGTCTAATTGAGGTCTGTGTCCAATGCTGAAGTGGTCCCCTGAGTAGCTAGAAGGGATGTCTTCTCAATGCTCACTTTGGACATACATCAGACATCTTCACCACACTTGAGCATACTTCTATAACACTTTAGCCAGTGCAAAGTGATACAGAAGTGTGATGGAGGAGCCTCTTAGATTGTTAGCTGTGAGGTACAGAACATTACCTCATGTTAAAACGTGAGCTGATCAACACCTAAACATATTCACAGCTCCCTTCAGTTAGGGTTTTGTAACTGTGCCCCCCATAAGTCATGGATATGCATTGACAGCAACAGTACTTGCAAACTAATATCACAACTGTAGCCTACATTTGCAAAATAGCTAGCAAGTTGGCTGAATGTTCGTGGAAGTGTTATTTAGCAAATAAGCTAATGCAACACAAAAATCCCTATTAAATATTGTCTTGACTGCAATGTGTAGACTTAGCTTGGCTGTTCTCTGATGTCCAGGGACCTTTTTGGAGGTCAGTAGATATCCCAAACAGACTAAACATTGGCATATGTTTTGGACCTGTTTCAGCTGTCCACCGACATCTTGTGTACTGCAGATCCCCAAAAGATGTGCAGATACTGAACTTCAGTTGGAAAGTTCTTTTTAGACATGTAGACATTTAACAAATTTTGGCCATCTGAGGACATCCAGAACAAATCCAAATGAGATATTAATATTCTGTGTTAATTTTAGATGTCTGATGACCTCCAAAATATGTCCTGAATACAGATATCCAGATATTTACCAGTCATGTATTATCTAAATGTAGATGCTTATTTTGAGTGTGTTGTCCAAATCTGTAGTGCACCTTGAGGCACATTCTGATCTGAGACTCTGCCTTAATAAAATAAGTAATATCCTGACATTAGGTTCTGAACCTGTATCAAAAGCTTTGTCACAAACATACAAAAAAAGGACTTGCACCAACTGACATGATATCGATGTCACATTCAACAAAAAAAACATTTTAATTGTTCTTTATATACTGTTTGTTTGTTATTTGTTTCCTTTCTCTGTTCACATGTCATGTCCCTTAAATTGCGTCCTTTTTTTGTTGTCTTTTTGAATAGAAAAAGCCATCACATGTCTCTCCACCATCAGGTGTTTGCTGGGACTGAACATACTTTAGCAGTATGTTAACATACTGTATATACTTTGTATATACAGTATATGACAGATACTGTATATACTTTGTATATATAGTATATGACAGATACTGTATGCATAGCACATGTTGTTTTTCAGCTCAGCCACCCACAATTTATAGTAGTTTAGCAGTCTAACAAAAAATCTATTTCTAAAATGCAATTTCCCTGATTTTGCAGCACCAGTAGTCATTGTGTTCCATTATTTTTGTATGACCTTTTAAAAACAGAATTCAGTCAGATCTAAGGGCAAAATTTTACTGTCTAATATTTTTATGTTTAATGATGACAGTGCTGGGAATGCTTCAGTATGGGTGCCCTGAAAGCTCACTGCAGTGTGACCCAAAAAACACAAAATGCATCTTTGTATTTGCTTGTGTTTACTCTGTGCAGCTTGTTTTATTACTTTGTATTGTCAAATAGTTGAACTAATTTTCTTCATTTGATTGTGTTTTCATCTATTTGGGTGTTTTCTTTGGTTGCAGTCAGGGCCATCATATGTTATGATATTTGGACAAGTGGTCTGGAAACAATCTGAAAAAGTGAAAACAGGTGGAATCATCAAAATCATTTCCATGGCTGTTGTAAACATTGCAGAGAATATCCTGCTTTAAATTTTGCCTACTGTGGCAAACTGAAGCATGGGGGGGTTCACTGTAATAGACATGGTCACTACTATAAACCATAACATATCTGTAGCTATCTCACATTATGACTGTTTTTTTCTGTACAGCTTAAATATGTAAAATATTTTTAAAAAGCACTGGCTGTATCAAACAGGTTCTCCAGTCTTGTTTGGGATCCAGCCAGTGTATAACTCCTGGCTTCATGCCCACACTGTAGGCTGCCCATTACAGCAAAGAGTTTTGTTCAGCACAGTAACTTAGCACAATGGAAGTGCATCACATTACACTGACTTGCTTCATTAGTGAAGATGACTTAGAACCATCCTCCGCAGCACACTATGTGGATAAACAAGACAAACTGACTATATACCAGCTGTTAGGACTGGTTTTTTGGGGTTTTTTTGCCAATATCCAAATTGTATTTGCAAAACTGATTCCCAGTGAATGTTTGACACCACAGCAATAATATATGTGTTGCTATGATAGATTACATATTTAGATCCAAGAGGAAGCAAAGCTATTTTAATTTTTATTTAATTATAATGTAAGCATGGATGCAAATTCATTTGTCAAAAGGGAATATATAGCTGTTTTGCTGTGTGAGAGTAAAAAAGGAAACACTGAAAACACCAGTATAATCTTTATCATTTTTGCTCACACAATATGATGCATCCATTTCTATTATCCATGTACTGTTTGTGTTCAGGATTATTACTTAAGCCTTTTGTCCATATGTTTGCCAAGAATTGCTTCTATTATTGGAAAATTACCCCTGAAAGGACTAACTACAAGAACTAATGGTATTCTGAGAACTCTGTTGGGCTGTGTTTGCCTTTAAAGCCTCTCATTTGGTGCAGACAAGGATTGTGCTCACGCCTTATACACACATGGGCATGCTTTAGAGGAAGGGTGTGACTATTGATGTGCATGTTCTTCAGGCAGGTGTGGCGCTATTTCACACCCAGTGCCTCTCCACCAGAGCTTTGCTGCAGTGTTTGCTATACACAACAAGAGACACACTCCTGCAATCTTCAGCCACTGCAGTGAACAGAAATACAACCACCATCTAGGGAAAAACACACTTGCACTAACTTCATCTTAGTTTTAGATGCTGCTCATCGAGTGCAATATTTTAAACTATTATTTTTAGGAGGATTCATTTAGACTCTTTAACTTATTTATGCATATTAAGATTCGACTGGGTGTGGAGTACTGTAATTTTGTTCTTTCATGTACCATGAATGGAATGACAATGAACAAACCTCTGACCTTTGACCTTTGACCTTCAAAAAACAGAGATACAGGATAACACAGCTGGCTAAAATATGATGGCTGTGCTGTTATGTGGTAGGATTTAATAGTAGACAGTTTATTAATTAAATACTTATGTCATACAAGTTTTTTTTTTAGTAGTAAAAATTATATGTCTAACATATGTGTTTATAATCTTATTTCTGTCTGCAGTTTTCTGTGAAGATCTACGTTCCAGCTTATATTTTGTCAATGCATCTGTGCAAGAGGTAGTGTTTGCCAGCACCACAGGGACATTGGTGCCCTGTCCTGCCGCAGGTGCGCCCCCTGTCTCACTGCGCTGGTACCTGGCCACCGGCGAGGAGATCTATGATGTGCCAGGGATCCGCCACGTGCACCTCAATGGCACCCTTCAGATCTTCCACATTCCCCCTTCCAGCTTCAGCAAACTCATCCATGACAACACCTACTATTGCACAGCGGAGAACCCCTCAGGGAGAATCAGGAGCCAAGATGTTCACATTAAGGCTGGTCAGTTTTTCTGCTCATAAATTCTACACTTCACAATTATGGTCCACTGTGAGGGATAACATGTATTATCTCAGTATTAGCAGTTTTCCATCTTATACACAATATACCTTTCTGTCCCCCTCCCAGTCCTACGAGAGCCCTACACTGTCCGTGTGGAGGACCAGAAAGCCATGAGAGGCAATGTGGCAGTCTTCAAGTGCATTATCCCTGCCTCAGTGGAGGCCTATATCACTGTTGTGTCCTGGGAGAAAGACACAATGTCAATCAATGCTGAAAGTAAGTCATGACATCTTTCTTTACTACAGTAACTGCTGCAGAGTGTCTGAATTTAGTTAAATATTTGGCCTCGGTATGTCGTCACTAATGATGATCTTGTGTGCCTCTTTGATGGATTGTTCTCATAAGATTCTCCTGGATTCTACAGTAAATGTTATGAGAAATTATACTAATAAACCATTTTCTGGAAGTTAAGATTGGGAAGATTTGATTTAATAGTGATCCTTTTTAGATTTTTACATTTTTGCCTCATTTGCCTACTGTGGAATGTTACCAAATCATTGTGTGTCATACAGTTCAGAAGATGTCTTTATGGTACTACATGGGCTACTAGATTAAGCTTACTTGCCAGTAATACAATGGAATTGAAAAAAGAGAGAAAATGTATCGAGTTGCATCTTCTTTGGCTTAAGGGAAATAGGTTCTTAGTAGCATCAGCAGTACTGCTGCAAGAGATAGTTCCCCACTGATCAAAATTATACTGTGGTATGAATATTAATGTTGCAGTCTTACTCCATAAAAATGCTATTAGAAACACCTTAATTGAAGTTTATCCTGGCCAAATGATGTTTGGCTAAAGTGGTGTTTGTCATGTGTGTCATGTGATTCTTCTGATATGACCCTACACAAAAACTGGCTGTGTGTGTCCACGTCTGTCTGACCCGGTGAGAGCAAGGTCCCACTCCTCTTCCTCTGCCCAGTGTTTCACAAGAGTGCAGGCTGCCAGCCATGTCACTTAGTCTTAGTGTACTGACCCATTTCTCTGGCTGATAGGAAGCACTGCAGCGCTCCAATCATTCAAATCACTTAAATGGAATACTCGCCTGCATGACTGTTTCCCAGCCCTGGGGGGCATGTTCACTTTATGTGGGGCATTTAGCAAACTCAGTAGACAAGCACTTATGTCATTTTGCTTTTGGATGGAGGGCAAATGATTTTTTTTTTTTTGACATTTCACATTTGTCCAATGTAGAAAAATCAGCCATGTTGAAATCTATAATAAACTCTTAATTGTCTGTAAATGGATTGCCCCAGGCATGTTTTCAAAATGGGTATTTACAGTGGTTATCATGCTCATGGAATCTGTGCTATAGGTTTTGTGTTTTGATTACATTGCATTAATGTGTTTGGATCAAAATCTTGTTTTACACTATGGCTGTAAGTATCAATGTGACTGGATATTTTGGAATTTTTGAAAACCTGCTACTTTTTCACTTATCTTAATAGAAAAAAGATTTTTTGCACTGTCAAAACAAAGTGTTTATCTTGAGCTGTAAGAAACATCACATCTGCAGCCGTCAGCCATGTAAACACTGTCAGAAAAATCATCCAGCCACCAATCCACTGCTCTTCTCTATGCTAAATAATGGATGAAGCCTATGAATCCATGAGCAAATGGTCTTTATTCATGTTTCAGTGAGCGCATCCTACTGGTGATCCGTCCATTCCCCTCATCCTCTACTACACACTTTATAAGTGCACTTTGTGTATATGTGTGTGTGTATTCACGTCTGTGTCTATATGCACACCAACTGACAGCTCAATGCTAAATAAGTCAGCCCTTCACTTCAATAGCCAAGCTTTTACATTTTAATTTTTAAAGAATAAAAATAATATCGACATTTGGACTTCAATCAAATACTTTGTAAAATATAGCTTTTCTGTTTCTGACATCAATAATTGAGTTGGCTTTCCACTGTGGAAGGTGTAGCATGATGTGCAGCCCCCGTCAGACAGGGCCTCTGTAAATCTCTCTTGACATAGGGTCTTTGAGTTGTTGCAGGGTAGACTAACAAAGCACCACTCAAAGAACTGGTGTCTATTAGAATAGAATGGAAACTAGAATGGAAAATTATTATCAAAAATGCATTCACTCAGAACATCCAATAAACGTTACAGTGTAGCAGTAACTGTCCGATATAATGGTTTTATTATACTTACTGCAGAAAATGCCCACTTCATGGTCCAATGCTGACTTTTAATCGTGACTCTTTTTGTTTTACTGCTCAACTGTTAACTATATGTATAAACAAGGACCTGTCAATACACGAAAACCAGTTCTTTGATTTATAAATAACTTTATCCAATAAACTTGCTTTACTAATTCAGTGTAAATGAAATGCCACACATGGAGTGTAAAAGTTTTCAGTTTAAACAATGACCAGTTTCTCTTAGCTATCACCATTTTAGCTTAGTTTAGCCTTGACTAACTACTGTGTAGGGGCAGTTTTGTGTCAATTGCTACTTGCAAAGAGAAACATTTATATATCAATGTGTATATCAGAAAAGGTTGAGGAATGCATCAATTCACAGGCTACAAACTGTTCTGACTAAGAGAATTTCAGTTACTGTTTAGAAGTGGGAGTCAATCAGGATAAAGTCTTATTGTGATAGGGTTAAAGGCTTATTACGATTCATGAATACAACAGAGGGAAATCTCTCATTGTATAATAAGTCTTTTAAAGAACGTCCATTGTCAGAAGGGATAAAAATGTTAACAATTACCCCAACTCAAAGTCTATGATCTGCACAATCTGTACATACAGCTATCCATCATCCATTATCCATATCGCTAATCCTGACCATGGTCGCTGTAGCCAATCCCAGCCAACACTGGGCGAGAGGCAGGGTACATCCTGGACAGGTCACCAGTCTATCACAGGACTGACACTTAGAGACAGTCACCACACACACTAGAGTCACCAGTCAACCTAAACTGCATGTCTTTGCACTGTGGGAGGAAGCCAGACCACCTGGTTCAGGGGGTAGAGCAGTTGTTGCCCAACCGGAGGGTCGGAGGTTCAAATCTCAGTGCCTACGGTCCACATGTCAAAGTGTCCTTGGGCAAGACACTGAACCCCCCCGTTACCCCCGATGGTTAGAGCCATTGGTCGAGTTGGCGCCGCAGATGGCTGCCTCGGTTCTGTACCAGAAACAAATTCCTTGTGTGTAACGTACTTGGCCAATAAAGGTGGTTGTTATTATTATTGTTGTCCTTATAATTTCCCCACTATAATAAATCTATTGTTTCTACTATTGCTGTTGCACATTAACACATTCACATTAATTTCATGATATTAACTAAACTGTGCACTAGACCATTGCCTCCTGTTCAGCCAGCAGAGTTAATCCTTGTCAAGATGACAAACAGTAATGAGAATCAGGACTCAAAAGAGGCTTTAACTTTAAAAGGTCAGTGAAATAAATAAATGACCGGAGCAGAGGTGGGTTGGTTTCCATTTATTTCACAACACTATGTAAATTGACATAGTCTTTAGAAACTTACAATAGCCATCTCAGGCGATTAATGGATACCGTATCATCTTTTGTCATTTGTATTTTACATTTTTTAAAAATCATTTGTGGCTATGGAGTAAAAAAGCTCAGGTTCATGTGCCGTCATGGCGTACTCATGTGACTGTGGCACAGTGACGTGCGGTGAGGTTGACAGCTGGTGAGGCACTGACTCTTTTACAGTCAGATTTACAAATACAAATGAACCGTTAACAAATTGTCTGTTAACAGACAGTGCGTTATGTTTTATATCTCATATCACCATCTTCACACAAACGTGACCCATATTTAATTTGAGGTTAAAATTTATTCCAGTTGAGCTTATTTCTAACTAGAAATAATAAAAGTT